AATTTTATTTCAAACTTTTATTTTATATTAACATTTAAGACTGAATTTTGTGCTTTAACAGCTTTATAAAATATTTTTAATTTTATGAGTTTTAATTCTTTTGTTTTGAAGTTTACACCTAGGTTCAGCCTCGAGGCTCGCCCCACTAAGGAAAATGCCTCAAATCCTAAACTTGCCATTTTAAACATTGGAAACAACAATAAAAAAAAACCATTGACTTATTGACAATTACATTTCTTATTATATTTAATTTACTTTATATTTGTTTGGTAATAAGGAAATATAAGGAAAACTTAATTTTTTTGTTTGGTGGGAAGTAATATGATTCTAAATTTTTATATTAACATATCTTGTATTAATATATTCTTTAAATTTTCATTTTAAATGAATTTCATTCATGACAATAACAGTACATAGGTGTATGAGATCAACAAGGCCCACTTGGTTGCAAACACAGCAAGGATGACAAGATGAGAACTTGGCAAGTACACGGAAAGTCGTGACACAAAGCAGAGAGGTCAACTTGATGGCAAAATGATCAAAGTGGTTGCAAACAAATGATGAATTTGGCGCCAAATTTTTTATGCATTTCAATGTGATAAAAATAAAGAGTTTTTGGACGTAATATAAATTACTTAATACACAGAGATGCTTTAGATTTAGATTACTTCATGCCAATAGCTTAAAAGTCAAAACTTATGCATTCCAAGTGGAATATTCTAATAATATCTCAGAACAAAAAACCCCTAGGCAATCCTCAAAACATCAAAAGAAGTTTGAATGCATTACACTGTCATGAATTTAACAAAAAACACACTCAACATCACAATAATCATTGCCACTGACTCCAATGTCTTCTTTAAGAAAAACTTATCATCATCGATAATAATGTTTTCTATAAGCTGTATTATACAAAAATAAATGGGCAGACAGAGCACACCTGATTGAGAAGTATCAGTTTCCAAGCTCTCATCATTGACAACTGTAACTGGTTGTTTCCTCCTTGATTGGCTCTCATCAAAGGCAACTGTAGCTGGTCGCTTCTTCCTTGACGGGCCCTTGGCCTAAATATATTACCAGAAAAATAAAATGAACTTACAGCCGACAGACCAGATAACAGATACAAGGATGGATGCAAAGACTTAGAACAGGTTAAGAATGTACAACAGTAACTGGGCATTTCCTCCTTGATTGGCTCTCATCAAAAGCAACTTTAGCTGGCCGTTTCCTCCTTGATGGGCACCTAGCCTAAAAATATTACCAGAAAAATAAAATGAACTTACAGCAGACAGACCAGATAACTAATACAAGGATGGATGCAAAGACATAAATGAGGTTAAGAATGTACTTCATGTAACATTTAACAAAAAAACTAAAGGTGACAAATGAATCAAACTAACTAGCTAATTTTGAATATCATTGAAAAAAACAAGCTGTAGGAAATGATCATGGATCAAGTTTGAAACATACCGAAGAAAAACATGCAGAGGAAAGTTGCAGCTCGACATCATAACCTATGCCATTTTCATCACTTAGAGAAGAAACGGATCCAAGACATCCGATACTACTTATCTGCTTGTGCTTCAGATAAAGAAGGGCAGCAGCATCCTCAAACTGCTCGCTTTCAACAGGGAACTTATTCAGATCAATGTTCAGAGGCATCTTACAGATTTTAGTATCAATTATATTCCCCTTTGTATGTTAATTTAATGAGCAAAGCGTGCTGATTACTGGAACAAAATCAACTTATCAGTGCTACAATAATCTCAGCTAATGTCCAGAAAAGGAATAAAATAAATCCCAAGGATTCAAAGTATTAGCATTTTTTTAGAAAAAAATTATTACATCAGGACTCCGCAGCAGAGCTGCTTGCGAAGTCTAATCTAGTGCTTACACGTGGAAGGTCCACTCACCTACATAAAAAATGAAAATGCACGACTCGACCTGACCCGACCCGACCGATGCGTTACAGAGCATAAACAAATATTTTTTTGCATTATTTATTTTTGTCGCCGTGTTATAG